AGTACTCTAAAGTACTAATTAATGGAACGATTTCAAAGACTCGCGTGCATCTATATTATAGGGTACCCAACTGCGGCAATTTAAGTTATTTTGGGACTAACCTCTTATTGCACTAATGTCCTTAATATACAATTGCGATCAATGTGCGGACCATATCAGAAAATTGTGTTCTTGTTTTTATTTTGAAATAAATCACATTCCAAATTTAAAATGAGACCGGGTAATAAAGTGTACATTATATATATTATTATTATATTATATAGAATATGAGAGAATGAAGATGAATTTTATACTTTTTTTTTAAAATATACATACTTATACTTAATAAATTTTTGAATTTATTCTTACTTATATATATATACAATAATATATAATTATGTATACCATCTAAAGAAGAGCCTAGGCAGTGTTAATCAGCGAAAAGAACGTGACTAAAGAATATAATATGTGAGTATAAGAGAGTTTTTAATAATAATAAAAAAAAAATTTTCCTTTAACAATATTGTTATATTACAATATACTATACTGTTATAACAGTAGTAATGATACTGCGAGAACAGATACTTGTATATGTGCGTATATGTCAATTTAAAAATTACAGGTATATAAAGTGTACAGATATATATGCGTATAATAGATAATTGAGATTGATGGTTAAGGTATGAAAGAAGAAATAAATTAAATGTGAAGCACAAAAAAAAAAAAACAAGTTGTAAGTAAAATGATGAAAAATAAGAAGAAAGTCGATGACGACAAAAATAAAATGAATGAATGAAAATAATTAAAGGTTTGTGTATAATATTGTGAATGAAGTAGGAAAATAATTGCGGAAGACAAACTGAATTGCATAATATATGTAAATGATAAATTAAATAAAATTTCAAATGTTAAGAAAAAAAAAATATCACACATCTTAACAGATTTTAAATTAAAAAGACAAATATACTAAAAAGAAAAATTAAATTTTAAGAATTTACAAAATTTAAGAAAATTTCAAGAATATTTCTAAATCTGAAAATTTTTATCATTCAAATAAGAATTGTAATGAAATTGCATTTTTTTAAAAATTATTGGAATAAAGAAAAAGTTTTCCTATATTTGGTCAATTCAAACTCTTTTCTTGCTCTTAGCTCAATTTAAAATAAGTCATACAGCTGTTAATAGATCAAAATTTAAATAAAAAATTTTACTAAATAGTTGGTACACAAGATGAAAGAATACTACTACCCCACTAACCTCTCATGATTACTTAATGATTTTGAATAAATCACAATCCATAGTTCGCCGTCTATTAGTCTAATTCAAATTGCTATGTAACTACAATTAAAATTCTCTGACATTTAAATACAAGTATTGTGTGACTTCTTAGAGCTTTAAATATTAAAAAAAATCAATTTTAAAATGATTTTCTTTTATTCTTCAGCAAATTATAAAGTTAATAACCATATTATAAAATCAATGCCCCCAAATATATGCAAAGGATTTTTAAAATTTACAAGTGAATACTCTACAATTCTACACTATTGTAGACGTGTATATGTTTCAGTAAAATATTTATGAAATGATCCTTATATTTATATGTATGTATATTGTGATAATTTACATACAATACAAATATAAAATGCCAGTTTAACGAGTAATTTTTTGTCATTCATTTTACATATTATTCAGTTTATTTGATTTTGTTCTTAAACTTCTGTTTACAAAATATGATAACCTAATATCAGACTAACATTAGGAAAGAAAAAAATTGGGATCTATTTTTGAAAAAAAAAATTTTTGGCAAAATTTTTGGAAAATTTTTGAAAAAAAAAAGTGTCTACTACCATTTTTACTGTCTGACCATCTGTTTTTAAAAATAATATTGCTCTTCAGAAAGTGTGATAATGAATGATTTTTTAAAAATTACTATGTATTTAAATCACAATCAAATTTGGGAGTTTTTTAAAAACAGAAACCTACTTCTATCTATAAGAAACTATACACAAATGACGGGTTGTCGATTTGAACTTTCAAATAAGCTATTGTCTTGGAATACGTTTCTCGCCAAGTTAAATAAATAGAGACGATTAAGAGCAACTTGGAACGATTCCAAGGGCTCGCATATATCTGCATCACTGTGGCTATGACAACGTGCCCAACTACGGCAATGGAGATCATTTCGGTACTAACCTCTTTGTATTTTGTTGTGGAGTGATTTTAAGTTTGGGAAGGAAAGGATTTGAAGAGATGGGGCAAGGAATTCTTTTTGGGTAGATTAAGTTCCTAGAACTACGGCAGGATATGGTAAGAGGGGGGGAGTAATTAATGAGTTGGAAGTGCGAATTTTCGAATCCAGTTATTTCGGATAATCACTATATCAGATGGTATACTGACAGCGCAAAGATAGATGCACGTAGATGAAGACGGGATTGTTTGGGGCAAGAACCAAATTCATTAAAGAATTCAGACCGAGGTGCATGAAGTAATGAATATATCCAATAATAGGGCTGCTATCTTAGAGGTGTATTAATTTTCAGTATTATCTGCGGCAGTTTGGAGCTGTCTTGAGAAACTCAATGAATTAGGTTGATGTTGAGTGCCAAGTAATATGGATGGCAAGCCATCTGGTAACAAATGAGGCAAGTGCCGCGCTAACTAAGAGCTATCTGAGTTATTTCTCTTTGGACCAGAGTCCTACTGCGAAATTGGACAACATCCTTTTTGTTAGGAATTAAGAAAAGGGAATGGAGAAGGACAAGTTTTCCAAAGCTGTGGCTAACCAAAGCTAAGGAGCTTCTAGGAGAATATAGAATATTAGCTCTAGATTTAAGTTACTATTAGGAAATGTGCTATTTAAAAAAAATATGAATTTGACGACTACATTTATTTTTAAATCAGTTTTCGAATTAAATTGCTAAAGAAGGACTAACCCTAAAAATAAATCAGGAAAATTAAGATTTCATATGATTTTGATTTTCTTTAAATATTTTTTAACTCGAACACAATAACGTACATAAGATTTTTTGTTTAAAAATAGTTTATGTACATAGAACAAGGATTAAGGATAATCGAAAGAAAATTTGGGAGTAAAAATATTTTATTTTATTTTTTATATTTGTTTTTCTTTTTCTTTTTAATATTAAAAATAGAAATTTATATAATAATAAAAATTGAATTTTTATTTTCTATTATTCGAAGTCAAAAAAAAAATTTTTTTTTCTTGTTGAACTTTATTGTACTTCTTTATCCTTTTCAATTTTTTTTTTAGTTTTTGCTTGTTAGAGTAATGATTTTAAATCACTTACAATATTCTAGCTGCTATCTATAAATAAAAAAGCAAAACTGGGAATAACACAATAACGTAGATGTAAAAATTCTAGATTTTTTTTTTTTAAATCATAGAAGACATACTTATGGGTTTACTTAAGAATTTCGCAAATATTCCAAAAATTCTATTTGAAAAACTTTAATAAGAAATCCTTTATTTTTTTTTTCTTTCTATTTTTAGGTTTTACTTTTATTGTTGAATGATAAAAAATTAGGTTAACCACCATTTCTCAGAAGAATCAAAAATTTATTTTCTCTTTTTCCCCATTTTTTTTTTTTTTTGCAAAAAAATTTTTTGAATTTTGATTGCTTTTATTTTTTAACTGGAAAGAAATACTTTTGGGGTCTACAAAATGCTGTGGTTATTGAATTCATAATAGTTTGTTATCTATGTTAAGAGGAAATAGGAAAAAAATAAAGAAAAAAAACTTGTGAACATGAGAGAAAAAAAAATGGTAGTATTTAAATGTTATAAAACTAAAAATTATTGTATTTGTCGTCAGCCTCAATATTATATTCTTTAACAATCTTAATCCGGTTTGTATTCGATTGAAATTCAATTTTGAAAACTGATTCAGTTTGACTGGGTTAATAGACTATATATAAACTAATGAAAATTTTATGTAAAATCTCATGTATTGCATACAGAGTGTCTAAAACTCAACGGTACTCCTAATTGTCTATGATGTGATACAATAGGTTTAGAGATTCATTTATTATCAAATTCTTCTTAAAATTGTTCAGACATTGTTGGAAAAATAATTGGATTTTGATTAAAATTTTGATTTTGCATTTTACAATATAACACAAATTAAAAATATCTTTGCCACCAATGATATTGCACTTGAAAGAGAATTTTGAGAACTTTTAAATGGGAACATCAAATCCCATATTAAATTCCCCGAGCAATAAGCAAATTTCTAACAATTTTACTGTTTTCATAAAGACCAATTCATACCATGTGCATTAGGGCGAAAAAATGAAAATCTCTCCTTATGTATTATGTTCGTCTGGACTTATTCTATCACCTTGATTCAAGAGTCTTACACATCCTGTATTATGTGAATAAGGATAAAACTATTTTATAAGTTGGGATATAATTTTATTTTCAGAATAATGGATTATATACAAGGATCGAAATAAAGTTATTATTTTAAGATTTTCTCCAAGGGATTATTATTTATTTTTTTTTTTTTATTTTAATATAATATTTTTAAATTGTGAATATTATTATGGAAATACATTTACATACTTTAAATATGCATAAAATATTAAAAAAATGAAGAGAATTTATAGGTACTTATTTAAATTAAAATCAAAACTATTGAGACTTATTATTATTATTTTGTTCTCTCTTTATTTTTGAGTGATTTTAAAAGATTAAATTTAATTTCTCAGAAAAAATTTAATTTAAGAGTAGGTATTTTTTGCTCTCCAATTTTTAATTTTAATTTCCTTTTTTATATTACACAAGATACATGAATATTAGGTAATATTCTCTCTTAAGTAGTTGACATAATTGAGCAGATTACCGGCGGGAAATTATAGTTTATATTGAATGTTATCATTTATTGATTTTTATATTAACTCTAATTTCATGGTATGTTGAATATAAGATGCTCACCTCATCTGTTCAAATATATAGTTAAGTAAATCTACAATATTTAAAAACTTTATTTTCTTTTATTATTTTTAATTTATTTTATCTAGTTTAATGTTTTTTTTTTTTTTTCAAATTCATCTAAAACAATAAATATAATGTCACAGCAAATTTTGAATTTAAAGTATTCCATCTTCAACTAATTTCATTAAAGTAACAACTCTTTCATAGCAATATGGTCTTGCATCAATTCCCCATACAAAATCTAAATGACTAAAATCTACATCATCAACTAAAAATTTTCCAATACGCATCGGTAAATTTTGATGTAATTTTTCAATATCTCTTGGATCTGCTAACCAATCATTTGTTGAATAATGTAAAGCAACTTTTGTTCGAACATTTTCTAATCTATATTCTGGTGGATTTAAACTACCATATTTCATAAAATTTTGAATATATCCATAATCATATTGACGGAATTTCCCGGAACGATTTAATTGTGAAAAATGTATTATTTGTTTAGTTGAAGCACCAGCTGGTGTATGTCCAATCATAACTGGCATCATTGTCTAAAAAAAAACAAAAACAATTTAGAATTAAATGTAGGACATTAAAAGAGTGTATGCTATATTTATTGTATAATTTACCTTATTCATTTGGTGTTCATTATAACCGCATATTGCAAATATTATATTCGAACAGATATCTTGTGTTAAAGCACCATCTTTACAAAATACTCGACTAACCATAGCTAAGAAATCACTATTTGGTAAGAATTCATCTGGACCAATCCAACTAATCAGGCGCTACAAATTGAATAATCAATTTAAATTTATGAATAATAAAATTTTCATCTTACTGCAAAATTTTTCATTAAAAATGTTATAACTTGCACTATGGGACTTCGTATATGAGATACATAAGCAACTGGAGCTAATGCATTCATTGAAATTATTTTTGATGCATATTCCGGCTTTTCACTGCACATAATCCAAAATGTTATTGTACCCTTATAAAAATAAATATAACATTAATTATAAATACTCGTATAAAGAACTACAATATTATTTTCGTAAATCAGTTTACTTGTGAATGTCCAATATATTGTAATTTCTCTCTTGTTGTATTTTTTAAAACATAATCGATCATAGCTGGTAAATCATATACTCCGATTTCATGAAATGAAAATTGCCAAAATTTACTTTTATCTGGACTAATTGAACGATGTTCCCTTGAATAATGATTACCTCTTGCGTTACCCATCCAAACATCATAACCAAGATCATAAAGCATATAAGCTACATATATCAATTATATTTTAATATTAAGAAGTATAAAAATATTACGTGTGTATATTATTTACCGAATCCTCTATCAGGCCCCATCATTACCCATGTACTAGAAGAATCCAAAAGACCATGCATTAAAAATACTGGTTTTGCTCCAGGTCTAGGCATTCGATGCATTGTTAGAATATAACCATCTACCGTTTCAACTTTATGTACTTCTGATGGTCTTCCATATTTTTTGATTAATTCAGGCTAAAATTATAAAAATATTATTTTACAAATATGTGATTCATTTAATAAATTTATAAAAAAAACAAAATGAAAACATTGATAAAGAAAATTCAGTTAATTTTTTTTAAGCACAATATTAATTGCCTTTTTAATGTTTGGCCTTTTAAAAGTACTTTGTCAGCTTTTTTAATCAATTATTATAAGTAAATGATTCATTTTTAGTTACTGATTGAGTACGAGAATGCCGCCGCAAACAAAAATATTTTAATAATATAAAAGTAGAACAAAAAACCAATACGTATTACAAAAAATAATATTCTAATTTTGATATTATGACTGTTATCGCGAATTACTAAAAAAGATCCCCGATCCCCCGTTAAGTTTATACAACGATAAAGATTTTTTAAGTATAAGTACTTGAAAATTTTTCAATTTTTATAAAATTCATAAAATTCACATTATTATACAAAAAATTTTGTTCATGTTTAAGATTTCCGGAGACTATAACGAAGTTGAGCCCTGACAAATTTTTTCTTACACCAGCTAAATTCTTTTAAATATCACACGAAATCTGAACTGTGCATAGAATTATATTTTTTTTTTCAGAATCCCCATTACGAAACCGGCAATTTTACTGCGTTCCAAAAGTTTCAAAATTCATAGTCATATAGTTTTCGGTATAAAATTTTTTCATTCTTTGCACAGATGGTTTAAATCGTACAAAATTTAATCTTTAATTCGTGAAATATTTTGTGATTGATTATGCTTGATCTCTGTCGCATCTCTGTCGACTCAAGGGATCTTTGTGGAGCGCGATTGCATTTTGTAAACTTTGTGGCATTTTATTTTGAATTGTGGAGCTTTGGCTCATATAAAAAGAAAATTTATGGGTGGCTCTATTTTGACTGCAGACGGGTTGCGGGTACTTATTGAAAAAATAATGTCTGCCCAATATCCAACTAGTATTGGATCCAGGTGTTTTATTTTTACCCTGTTCTTGCAATACACAATCAACGGAAACCTTTCACAATCAATAAAGAAGATTTAAAATCAGAAAAAAACACACTTTACTTTTTATAAAATATTTTTTTCTAAACGCGTTACATAGTTTTTATTAGAAGAACTTTAAAACTAAATTGAATATTGTAAGTTGATCAACTTGATTGCGAATTTTATCAAAGCTTTTTATCAATGACTTTGTAAACAAATAGTGGAGGTATTGTAATCGTACTAAATTTTTAGATGTCGAGTTTTCAAAGGGAATATATTTTCCTAATTTTATAGAAGCAGAAATACTTGTTTTTTTAGCAGGAAGTTAATCATTTTGTTTATCGATCAGTTTTAATTATAATTGAACCGATTTTAATGAAAATACTTATATTATATTTTTCAGCTCGCCTTAAAGATGTTTTGCATTGTCCAGATTTGGTTACGTTTAAACTATACTGGTGCATATAATTATGGGGTTTTGTTAAAATTAATATACAAATTTTTACAGGTTACGAGGCACACAACATTAAATATAGAAGGTTACTATAATTTTCTTAAAATTTGAAATAAGCGTACAATATCATAATTTTTGTCACACTTGAAAGTTGAACTTTAATAGAGTTAGCAAGTATTATGCACAAAATTTATATACGATACTGGCCACATCAAATTTTTTAGCATTTATTTTAAAATTAAACAGCTGTGTAAAAGTTTAAACTGGTTTTAACACGCTATTATATAAACTTGAACTTGTACAATTTAAATAAAAATTATGTTAGCTACAGCTATTTGATAAATTTTTTTCTATAATAATCTTTTAAAAAATAAATTAATATTTTGTTTAAATAATTAATATTTGCCGTTATTAACTAATACCGTAGTATATGATGGTTCACATTGAATTACATTAATCTCTTGAAATTCTATCGAAGATTTATTCAAATACACTTTTATTTTTCATTATTAATTGTTATAATTTTTAATTGGACACTGTTGTTTTTTTTCAACTTACAACTTGTAATAATGAATCTTCTAAAATTTCCGGATCAATTGGTTTCTTCAAATTGAAATATGATTCTAATTTATCCGGTAGGAAATCATCAATACTATTTAAATCATTAAAATCATCACCACTAATTGAAATTATTTCATATGATAATATAACACTTATATTAATATAAAATATAAAGAATATTATAGATTTCTTAAACATTTCTTTATTAAATTTTATTATAATTAATTTTTTTTCTTAGTTATAGTATATTCAATGTCAAGCTGATTTTGCAACTGAATAAAATAAACTTGAAGCAATATTATTTATAATACTACTAAAAATAAATTTTAAACAAGTGGAATTAGATTGGTTTTAAATAAAAATAAAAAAAAAATATTATTATTATTATTAAGAATTCATAATTATTTTCGAATCAAATTTATCAAATAATTATTATTAATCACCCTCTTTATTATTGTACTATTATTTTTCGTACGATAAAATATAATATTTACTTTAAGTCATAAAAAGTATATATGCATAAGATTTAGCACACAAGTACTTCCAAGTGGGGTTGCAAAATAAAAATCTTATCAAAAATTTTAAAAAATTCTCTTCTCTAAACAATTCTTATATATACTTACACTTGTAGTTATTACGTCTATAAGAATATTCGATTGTACAGGGAATACCACAAAAGAGTTCAGTATTGTTATATTAAAGTACACATGTATTTATTTGTAACATAATTTTAATTATGAATACTGTAATTGTATTTGTAAGAATTTAGTAATTGTCCAATTGCTTATATGGCTTCCGCTAGTTTCATCATTAAAATGGGAACACAAGCCACTGTATGATTCTATTGTATGATTCTGCATCTATAATCAAACAATTACAATATTTTTTCAAACTACGAGAAATTGAAATACTTGAAATTTCAATTTGAGAAAATATTAAAATGACTGAATTTCCCTAAATTAAAATCAATTTGAGCGGTAGAATACCGATTATAGATGTAATATCATACAAAAAAAAAAATAATTTCTGTTATACGTAACGCATTCGCATTAGTTCTTTGTTACTTCTTATAAATTTTTAAAACGAATAAAAAATTAATACACTCTGTATTATAATTTTTCTAATTTCCGTTATTTTTACACAGTAAATTCTCATTTATTATGAATTCTTTAAATCAAACAATTTGTTGACTTTAATTTTAAAAAAATGCTTTAGTTAGAGCAGTGTTTGAATATCAAACCTTTTTCTGTTTGATTAGAATTGTATGGATATTCTATTTTTTTAAATCATACAAAATTGGTGCAAATTTGGACATCAAACTTTATACAAATTTTTATGAAATCAAACAAAATTTATGTTTGATATTGTATGAGCGATATTTGATAAAATGTATGTTTGATAGTTTATAAACAACATATTGTATGAAATTAAACATAAAAATTTTACATTCAAATTATTATTAATTACGATATTATTTTCAAAATACGATATTATTTTCAAAATTTAATTTAATAATATTATATTATAAGAATGGTTTAATCAATTATATTTAGCATTATTTATTTGATATTAGTACTTTAATTTAAAAAATTTATATTATTAAAAAAATGTTTGACTGTGCATAAACATTTTGTTTTCAAATGAGTAATTGGACATTGAATTACATGATTTATTATTTTCAATTAAGCAATACTGATATACATTCATAATATGTATAGGTAAATTACATGTACGTATATATACACATAAATGTTATACAATACTCGTATGTCTTAAATTATGAACTTAAGAACTAAAATATGTTCTACGTTTTATTTGTATGAGAAATGACTTATTGTTTTAAAAGTATAATACATATATGCATATTTTTATAATATTGATCACTTTCTTGTTGTATATAGTTCGAATCAGAATGTTTGATTATAATTTTTGACATAAAGCTCAGCTTTGAAAAAAAAAATATATTGTTGGCTTGAGCATTGTATTTTAAGTGATAAATTATTCTATATATAGTAAATAGATCTAAACGTGAGATCAATTAATTAATTTTCATACAAATAGGAACTGTAGAATTATCATTGCGGATAAAGATTAATATCTTTATAGTTTCAAGCAGCTTTTATTTGTTTATTTTTTATAATTATTCAATAAGCTTGTACAAATTATTCGAATATTGTACTATGAAAAATGTGATATATATACTCGAATTTTTTATAATCTAAAAGCTACTATGATGATAGTGTTCAAAAATTAGGACATTTCAAGATGAAATTTCATTAAAATTCACTTAAAATTACATTGGCCCTACCTTCGGTATAAAAGTTTTGAGCTGACTTATTATACTATCGCAAATTATTGAGTTAAATTATAAGGAATTAAAAATTAGATATTAAAAACTTGGTGTTTTATAATTAAATATAATATTACTAGCAATAATTTATTATCTAAAGCTAAAGTATAATTTAAATCTAAATAATGATATATATTGTAGTCTGTATACTATATATACTCTTACTATATATAAAATATAATATTTTTATACTATATATAAAAAGTAATAAAATATTGTGTATAACACATATACTTTTATGTTATCACGGTTTAATTCTGAAACGAATTAATTCCAATGTTTTATTGAAAATTTTCATAATTAGAAATATGTAAAAGGTAAAACACCAGAACAAATTCGTATTTTAAAATATTTAATTAAATATTTAAAGAATATTATAATTTTACAATGATAAGAATTTTGATTAGGCACTATAGGTGAATTCGAAGATTTGTAAATTCCATAGGAAACCGAATTGGATAAGAAGACCATATTCTATGCAACCATTCGCAACTTAATTTAGCCTCCCCACATTCCGCTTATAATATCCCAAGTTCCAAGTATATAGTTGGAGATATCTCCAAGACATTATAGGTACAAGCTATAAAAAGCATTTTTAATTATCATTAAAATAAAAATCTCATTGGTATATTTTGAAAAATTAACTAAATAATTTATATAAAGTCATAATTTTTCTTATCTCATATTTTTAGATCTCAAAAGACAAAAAAAATTTGAAATTTTATTATAGTCTAAATTATTAATTCAATTTTATTTTTCTTTTATTATTTTATTATTGTGTATCATACTGTCTACGAATTATAACGTAAGCGTCTATATTCTAAAATCCAATTTTTACTCCATTTTATTTTTTTTTGTCTTTTTATTGTTGATTATTATATTAAAAAATGTAAAAAAAAAAGTACCGTTAATCAGAATATTACCATTCATAAAGGGATATAAAAAGGATATAAATATAATTTTATATTCGCCATGGGAATTAACACTTTTATATTGGGTCGTCGTCATATTCTATCCGTCTACAATGTCTTCCGCTCACATCTCTGCATAATTTTTGTTTTTGCTTTCATTCTGGTATACACTCAAATAATAATGAATTGAATGGTGTCTCTAAGTATCTATGTTTTGATTTCGTTGTTATCTTTTTGAATAAATTTTTGAAACTTCTACTCATCGTATTACAATTATCGTATAGTAAGTAAGTGGAAAAAATTTTCATTATCATTGTCAGGATAATATTAAATTAACAATTTTTAAACTATATGTATGTGATATTTTGTGTTGAGAGGGTTGTATTGCAATATATGAATGTATTTCTATACCATTAAAGTTAATTGTGTAATAATAAGATTTATTTTAAAATTATATACGAAATTCTACTATCTCATCATATTGTATAAAATGTACATAAGCATGTGTAAATTGTAGAACATTTTTGATATTATTGATAATATGGTTTCGACTTGGACAACGACAACGGAACAATCATTTATTACAAAACAACAATTTTTGATTTTATTCGTAATTAATACAAAAATATTTTATAAATTCTTTCAATTATACAAAATTTAATTTAAAATATTTCGTATTGAATTAAGGACTAACAAAAAATGTTGTTAAAATTATGAAAACACACGGATTTACGCAGTTTGTTTATTCAAAGTCGTAAATTTCAATTTATAAAATGAAAACTAATTTTATAGGGGCATAGATGTCACACCTAATAAATAAAATTATAAGACTACGTTATTTTGACATTGATTCAATTTAAGTCAATTTTTTTGTGACTTAAACACGTTGAATGACAAATAAATCATATTGATTTTTTTTTCTATGACAATTAATAGTTTTTTTTATACTTAAAATTTATTAAAGTTATGAATTAAAAATGACAATTTTATTAATTTAATAAATTTAAGAAACTTTCAGAAATACTAAACTTAATGGTTTTTTTAAATGGTTAAACGTCAAACGGAACCGCTATTTATTTTATAAAATGTTAGGTTCTTTAAATAGAATTTGTTAATTTTCAAACGAGTTGTCATGATTTGCGCTCTCACTTTTTGGACTTAATGAGTACTATACTCTCTTGATAATCGTATATTGCCAAATTTATTTCCAAAATTAACCGTTTATTTGCGATCTCACAAGTTGTTTATAGTGATAAGACTATGATTTTTGCTTCATTGATTTTTTTTTATAATATGGAAAATAATTATTATATTTGCTGTAGATATCATCAGACCTTACTTTTTCAAAATGAAAGTAAAATTGTTATAGCAAAATACGATGAGAAATAGAATGTCTTCAGGCTAAATAAAACGACCTCAATCTCATCGGATTACTAGACGACTCATCGGATTACTAGAAAATTTAGCAATATGTCTAATAGAAAACTGAACTTCTCAATGAATTATTCAAATGTACTTGAAAGAGTACACAAAATTTAGATAACTTTTCTTACTAAGACAGAAGGCAGAATTTAGGAAATATAATTCCTCATTTAAGACATCTGTTCTTTTTATACGCATTACTACGAAAACAAATAAATTGAAGAGTACCCGTGTCATACGTTTTATATATCATATGAAATGTAACTTCAAGTTTCCTTAAAAGTTATTCAACCATCAAACAAAACAAATTTCTAAAACCAATTAAAAGAATTGGTATTTGTATCTTTTAAATCTCCTTGCAGAAGAATTAAAAGATACAAAAATAGAGTATATACATATGTAATTTAAATTGCTTAAAGTAATAAACGTCAAAGTGTTAAAAGGAAGAGTTTATTGTAATAATTTCGAATGTATTCTTATAAAATAAATGGTACAACAAAATTAATTCCAAATCTTTAAATTTCAGGAAGGATTTTATAAAGTTTTACAAGTTTCAAACGTTTTTGTAATAGATAT